GACACGTGTGAGCACTGGACATGGCCCTGATGACAGGTTAGCCAAAGGCATTTGGATGTTTGCTTGGGCTGGGCTGTTTGAGTGGTTTGGTGGGTCAAAGCGGAGCATTTCTTTTAAGCACAGCCACAGCGACCGTTGACGTGGTTCAAGTGCCAGCCAAAAGGGGGAGAAAGCCGCTTGCTTTGAGGTTATTTACTTTTAATGACTCGCAAACTACAGAGACAGAGCCAGAGAGAGAAAGAGATAGAGAAAGAGAGTGCAACCGCTGCGTATACGCAATATGTAAGTGTTTGCCCTAAGTGTTTTCAGATATCGCGCATCAGTGGACAGCCGTCTGTTTGTTGACTTTTAGACGGCTGCTTGTGTGTGTGTATGTGTGCGTGCATGTGTGTGTGGCTTTTCATCTCAGACGCTCGCATAAATGAGCTTTGAAGTTTGCATAGAGCGCATGAAATGCATTCTCTTCGCAATTATAGACAGCAGGTATGGGAGTATAGGTGTGCATACAGCATCCACAGCATCAACACACATACACACACAGACACACATATCCTTGAAAATAAATTGTTTTGTTAATTATTTATGGTTGGTTTAATGAGTGTGCGTTCCATCCACAGCCAAAGCTTTACCACACCCCACACACCCCCCTCAACATCTCTCTCCGACCATACCAAATGAGTTTGTTATATTTTTGCATTTTGCAATTATTTTAATGAGTTTTGCATTTAAGCGATTTTCAGCATAATTCTGACTGCCATCAACATCCTCCTCATCATCATCCTCATCATCATTATCGTCCTCATCAACGGCAATAGTGTTGTAAAATGTGAGTAATTGCCGTTTTTTGCTTCATTAAAAATGCGCCTTTGTTGCCACAACTCATTAAAATTAAAATTAAAAAATATAAACATATAGCGGAAAAAAATTACAACTTTTCGCGTTTGTAATGAATAAATACAATCGGAATTCATATGCGCTAATTGTGCTGGCAGCTTTTCAGCATAAAAATTCCACGTGCAGGACTAACAAAATCTTATGGAAAATCTCTTTGAAAATACATTCCATGGAAAATCCATTAATTTGA